AGGGAAGCAACTGGAAGCAACGCTTTCGGGCCCCCGAATTTAGGGGGCCCCACTATAAATTTTTGTATTCATTGTATTTCTTTTTAATAAATTTTCAAAAGTGGGACGAAACGTTTTTTGTTGGAATAACTTCATATTGCATTTTATAAAAGATACGTAAATTTTAAATTTAAAGTACATAATATGTATGTACTTCAAATTTAAAATTTAAAGTACACAATATGTATGTACTTCAAATAAAATATTAAACCTATTTATGAAATAAAAAAGTTTTTCTAAGAAAAATATGTGTCTTGATCGAGAGTTTATATGGAAGCTATATCTAAATTTAAACCCATTTGAAAATAATTTTATACGTTGTCTTTTGCAAATATCAGTACTGTATACACCATATTCCATTTGAATACCTTTATTAAAAACGGAGAAACCTCATATACGATTGTTAAGTTTATATCACAGCTACAAAAAATAGACGTCCAATTTCAATCAAATCAAATGGTGAACAGGGTGCGCTCCCGAAAAGTATGTGTATAAAGTTTTATTCGAAGAGTTCAAAAGCTGAGAGAGTAGTTTGAACTGTAAAAGTATACTGATATATACTTAATGGTATTTCCGAAGTTTCCTTTAATGCGTTACGAAAGTCTTGACAAACCTTATATTCCCTTTTTACATTTTTTCGTGTAAAGAGTATAAAAAGAGGGGCCCCTTAGTATGTTGGTAGGGGCCCCTTAGTTAGAATTTGCTTACAGGCCTAAAAAATGTAGTTACGCCACTGCATTGCGTACACCTTTTCAGAACTCATGATTTTTTTAACACAAGCAATTACATGCCTTTATATTTCTATGTTTTTGATTTCTATGTTTTCGACATGATTTTTATTAACGAGACAAAATAAATGTCTTTATATTTCTATGTTCATTGGAGGTTTTTGTCTTTGATAAATTCACTGTAAGAAATGATTTGCGTCTGAGTTTCATAAACTTTTCTTGCCGTCACTTTCAAGCATTAATGTTCGATACACATTTTTTTATATTTCATGCAAAATTTTCTTAAAATTTTCAAATCAATTTATTTTGCTACACTTTTCGATAAATTGATATTCAATTTTCGAATGAATTACGTAAATTAAAATATTTCTTAGGAATAATTATTTTACTAGATTTTTAAATTATTAAAATACCTTTAAATAATAAATTTTTGTTATTTTGTTGGCTTTCCATATTATATAAAAATGCTTTAAGACAGAAGTTTATTTGTTAAGATATTCACAATAAAATGTGAGAACGTCGATATCCTTGTACTATATAGTACACTATATAGTGAAAAATAATAACTCACACACCTGAAATCCACTAAAGCTAATAAAACTATTGAATGTCACTTTTATAGTCATAATAATCTACTTTTAAAATTTCCCAAATACAAATGGTGTTTGGAGCATGTAAAGTTTAACATTCGATTTGTAAACAAAAAACATATGATTAATTTGGGGCAGTATAAACACTTTTAAAATTGTCTTAATTTCATTTCTACGAAATTAAGGAAATTTGGCTGTCTGAACTTAGTATAAGGCTGTTTTCCTTACTTTCGTTCTAACCTTAAAATTAAATATTGTGCGGAAAAAACAACTTAGGCCGTGTGCGAGTTCGAGTAAATCGAGGTAAAGTAAATTGAAATTTATTAGGGATTTTTTGCACTGCACTTATGTAAATATTTATTTATTTATTTATTGGACTTATTTATTATTTTTGTTTAAAAGTTTTCAAATTTATTTATTTATTTATTAAAAATCTTATAAAATTTTCACAATGGTAATACCTAATTTACCTGATTTTTACTTAATTTACCCTACTCGAAATTCTGGTAAATATCAACAATTTACCATCAATTTACTCGATCTCGCACACGGCCTTAATTTCGCTGAAACGATTTTTACGAAATTAAGGTGTGTCTGAATATAGTATTATCCTTATTTGCTAATAATACAAACACATACATCCGTTTTCAAAACTATGGGTTCAGAATTTTTTTTTTCTAAATTGTATATTTACCATAGTTAATAATTTTATTGATATTGCAGAATATTGATTTTATTTCTACATGCCGGGAATTTTCACATATTCAATATTCTGTAGAAAGTGTTTAATTAATCATAAATGTAGAAGAGAAATGCTTATTTAATAATAATAAAAATTATTAAAATATGATTCAAAAATATTATATACAATAATACATAAATGTAAAGAGAAGCAATATAATAGATATTAGTGTAGGACACACACACACACACGGCATAGTATATAACTCGCTTTCATTAGAAACGCAATATGTTCAGAAACATATGCTCATGTGCTCAGCTAATTCGTCACGATTATTCATATTCTATAATATTTCTTTAAAAATATTTTAAATTATTCCACTAAAAATGTTTCCGTACAAAAATAATGTAGAATATATAACGTCACTAATAATAATTGCCTTCAATTTTCAACAAAATATATTCACTATTATTTTATGTGCACATTTTGAAAACTTTTTGTTTTCTTACTCAAATATAAACAAAATCAGCTGCTAACGTATGGACTAATTACATTTTAGAGCAGAGCGACATTTTAATTTCTTTTCTGCTTAAGTTCTTACGGTACGTACCGACGAACTGAACCTCAAAAAGGTGAAAGAAGTAAGGACATTTTAGATTAATTGCATTAAAAATAACGCATATTTACAACACTTTTCACTTTTACAACTAAAAACCAAACATAAAAATCTTCATACAAAAAATTGCCCATTGCGAAAGCATTTAGCTTCATGTAAGCTTAAGAGGAACAATCAATCAATTATTAATTTCTTAGTTCTTCCTACATTTAATGGTAATTGTATAAGCATATCCGCTAAAAAAACATAATATTCATAATATGACTAATGTGTCAAGGAACACAAGAACTAGTCGCCGTGATCGTGGACTTTAGGACCATGTTAATCATCTGTCAACAGGCCGCCTTGAAAGGCAATGTACTGGAAGATGAAATTTGTAGAAACTATCGATAACAATGCTTTTCAGTTCAATATTACCATCACTAAGTCAAGTACAGCGGCTGTTTTGTTTTGTAATTGAATTGAATTGAATGAAGGTTTATTGAGTTCAGTGTGGCTGACAATAGAAGAATTCGGCTGTGTTTGGATTCGTTAAAGCTTTTGCATTTTTAATCTATTGACTGACATACAAAGCGGCTCAACGTACAAATATTTGCTTGCTTGTGCGCAGTTACAGCATATTGCTTGAATAACTTTGCAAATAACCACCGATATAAAAAACGTATGTATTCATTGCTCTATTGCTCTTATTTAAATGTTCATTTACAATATCATTCGAATACTTGAAAGGCTTCAATATTTGGCTCTCAAGACTATTTAGTAAAATGGCAAGCCCTGGACCCCGACCGCTTGTGGTGTGTGGACCATCTGGGAGTGGAAAAAGTACTCTGCTTAACAGATTGTTTAAGGAATATCCGCATACTTTTGGTTTCAGTATATCTCACACAACCAGGAACCCACGTGCGGGTGAAGAACACGGCGTACATTACTACTTTGTCACCAAAAATGACATGGAAAACGCGATAGCCAGGGATGAATTCATCGAAACTGCAGTCTTCAGTGGCAATACATATGGAACCAGTAAAGCTGCTATAAAATGTGTACAAAGTGCAGGAAAGGTTTGCATTTTGGATATTGAACCGCAAGGCGTAGAACAAATCAAGAACACCGATTTGAATCCTGTGCTTATCTTTAATAACCCCCCCTCTGTGGAAGAATTGGAACGCCGTTTACGCAAACGTAATACCGAGACTGAAGAAACCTTAAGCAAGAGATTATCAGCAGCAGAATTCGAAATAAATTACGGCTTGCAGCCAGGAAACTTCCACAAGATTATTCATAATATCAATATTGATGAAGCATACGAGGAATTTCGCCATTTCATCATAAACGAACTCAAGGCACAAGAGGAAATAGGCATCTTTATACGCTGGGATGCTTCAGAGTAAACTATGTTTGTTATTGTTGCTTTGTGCTTGTAGGTCACTTAAATGTACAAATTCTATGTTCCAGTGCAATATATTTATAGAATAATAAACTGCAATGTTCAATGTTCATTCATGGCGATGATGTTAACTTCCTACGCGTCTTCCTTCCTACATTAGGAGTCAGCGAGGTGCGCCCTTTGGGTTCATGCAAAAAGTAGAGAACAGGCGTTGGTGTCTTGAATATATTAAGCTAAAATTGGTAAAAAATTAAGTTCTTTTAAAAACATTCATTTAATTTATTCAATCATTTAAGATAATTCAGTACAAGTCAATGCTGCTAGGATCGCCATTTCCCGGTGTCTCTTAATGCTTAGGAAGGCAGCTCCATTTTATTGTAAAATTAATTATTTCATTTGTTTTAATTGTCAGATTTCGTGTTTAGGGCAATGAAATAATTACTTTGGGACACGCAACACGCGTCTAATTTGCGTACTGCAGTCAATCTTCAGGCGCGTATTTACCTACTCTAGTTTTTGGTACTACAAGGACAATTTTGCGTGACAGTTATTCCTAATCGCACAAGCCAGACAAATGTATTTATTATTAATGGAATTTATTGATTCCTAAAACCAATGAGCATTTTATGATCAATGATTCATTTACTATCAACAGTAAAAATTGCAGTAAAAACAATGAAAACGGACCTTGTCTTTAAGACAAATTTATGTTAAGCTCGATTAAATTTATTTAATATTTGCTTTTCGTATTCTGAATTTGAGATGTTAAATATATTCTGGCAATATATTGATGCTTCTATAATTCCATAAATAAACCCATTGGCGTGAGAAACTGATTTGCTTTCTCTGGAATTTGTGGTTTTGGTGTTTAGTCCAGATAAACTACTCTATAAGGAACTCTCCTCTATAACGGAGTTTCTCTGGAGACACTGTAATGCTCTCAGATCCAATATTTGGAATTCACTTCTCGCTACATGTTTTGTCAATTACCTTTTTAGGACAGGCTCACGCAGGTTTCTTTCGAAAGCAAACTACACTAGGATCTGTTACAATACAAAATATCTTTGTGTTTATTCCATGTTATATATGAAGTTAAGTTAATAGATTGAATTATATTGACAGCATAAGATTGCTTGCTCTATATAGTTGTATATACCTGGTGTGTTACCTTATTACTTCGTATGCTATTATTTTGACAAGCACTTAATTCTTGCACATATTAGCGTACTTATTTGCAACTCCAGCTAAAAGTTTATTTGAACTGATGCATTTTAATAAAATACCGTAGATTTATTTAATGTGAGAATATTTTGTCGCCGGGTTCAGCATTATATTATATTGATGTTCTAGAAATGAAAGTATGCATCCCAATGCTTTGTTCGTGATGACAACCTCAAGTGAAAGAGATGAATAGTCTTATGCATTCCGCATCATCATTAAAACGACACTTATTTGTCGTTAATACTTTGCTGGGGTGTCCTCAGTGATTGGCCCGGGTCGTCCAATATTTTTTGTTTGTGTGGCATTTTCAAGTGCATTTGTGGCTAGATACCTCAATCAAGAGCAATTTAAAATTATTCAATTATTTCTGGTTGAGAAGCTCACTCATGGCTCGTGGAAATGGAAAGCTTACTATAGAAAAGTCTTATTTTGTTGTCAGAAACAATAGACAGAATATCCTGCAACCATATACGAGGGAGCGGTGGGGCAATGGGGACAACTCCCACAGAAGTGATTCAGTTGCGTTTTTTGCAACTTATTATTTTTGGTAACTTGTTTTCTGTGTTCCACCATGTGTATTTCTGAAGGCTCAGTTAGACTGTAGGTAACGTAAGAAATTAATTCAAAGCGAAATGCACAACCAACCAAACCTGCGTATTTGATGGGAACGAAATAAACAATAACGGTGTACTTTGTTTATTTCGTTTCTATCAAATACGCAGGTTTGGTTGGTTGTGCATTTCGCTTTGAATTAATTTCTTACGTTACCTACCGTCTAACCGAGCCTTAAGTTAAGAACCTTAGCGAAAGCTGTTTATTTATGTTTTGTGTAACAAAATATTTATTTTTTTTAAATTCTCTTCTCTTTCGTAATTTTAGTAGCAAATATATTTTTTTTTTTTTGGAAAATAATAAAATAAATACAATTAATTATTATTCATTCCATTTTCTTTTTTTGGTTTTAATATATGTATAATAATTATTTTTTGAATTTATGTGTTTGGTTTAATTTACTTATGGTTAGTTGAATACAGTTATTTCCAGAGAATGAGCAACAATCTAGGACTGGATAGGCATTGAATGTTGAAGAAGAAAACACCCAATCCGTAGCGATTCCGAAGTCCCAAAATTCAATATAAGTTAATTCTTATTTGTTTATCTGTTTTATTCTAATTTGTTCAACGGCAACATTAATAATATGTAAGATCAGAGCTTTATTATTTTTAATGTTGTATCAAGATTTAACTTACGATTTGATGTGCGAATGGACAAAGTTTCAACATCGGTAATACCAAAAATTGTGTTTAATACATCTACGGTCAAGGCGCCTCCTATCATTAACAAATTCTTACAATTAAATTAGTATGATTTTTTAGTATTTTGATTCTAGATTAGTATTTTAGTATGAATACGTGTCAAGATCTCATAGAATATCTTTAAAAACAAAAAAAAAAACTTTGTGCACTTGAAGCGTAGCGAAGGAAAATTGATTAAGACAATAAAAATATTTATATACATATGTACCTGTACGGCCGTCAGACATCAGATACACATGGGAGACAAAACATATTTTGTATACGTAACTGTAGTATATTGTCAGTAGTTCTCTTTTACTTTCTACGCGGGAGCGACTACAAACGGATCTTTAGTATGGTCAAATCTCATCAATAAGTGTTGGATGGTAATCGGGAGGATGGAAAAAAAGCATCTGAAACGAGACTAAATGGAACTGCATATGCTGAGATAGTTGGTCTTTAATATGCGAACTCTGATTGGCTTTTATAATTTTATCAGAACTATATGAATAAAATTACTATTTTAAATTAGCTTGATGCTACTCTAACGGCATTTCCCCCAAATAAATTCTCCACTGATTCGTCGGATGTCAAGTACGTGATGGATATTAGACTGGAAGCCTCTTATGGTATCAGGATCCGAATATGTGACTGAGGAGTTCTACTCCGCTTACGGAAACTCTGAACATTTCTGATAGCTTTATTTGTTGACTATATTGTTGGCTGTTTTCGAATATGGGGCTTACGACATTATATAGGCATTTGGATTTTGTTGGGAACTTCGAATTTGTGGGCTTGCTGATTATATTGAGACGATGTTGCACTCGTTGCAGCGGCTAATATTATAATTGTGTTTTTCATGGAGCTTGATGTTGTTATTATTAGTAATTCTGCTCTACTACGTTGTTATTTTCTTTTTTATTACATGTGACTGCGACAGAGATATGTCACTGTTGCCAAAATAAATTTTGAGTTTTCGGATTTTTTCAACCAGATTAGGAACTGCAACTGGTCAGTGGCCACATTCAAGATCTTATAAAATCAGGTAAGCTGGTATAGTACCGTTCGATAGTAGTACCACGAAAACATATCCTAATTGGTGCAGGTGCAGGCATAATCGTTTTTTAGCAACTCTCAAACCGAGATCTACGAGGGCTGCTATATGCATTTCTGGCCTAGGCAAGACTAAGTGTTGCCAGGTGCAATCTGACATTTCCATTGAAAAGGTTGACATTTTTTAGCATAACATCACTCAGAACGTGTTGTCATTGAATTGTGAATTGTTTTATTTACAGAGACTTGAAGAACTCATCTCTGTCAAAAAATGCAATTAACAAGTGAGCATTTTCGTGCGATCATTTTTCACAACTTTCGACGTGGATTATCACGACAAGACTACATTGATGAACTTAAATCTTTGAATGGCGATGAAGCACCACCCTATAGCACTGTGAAAAACTGGTTTAATGTATTCAATCGTGACCGACACTCGCTCAGTGACGAATTCCGTGAAGGTCGTCCAAAAATGGCCGTTGTGCCAGAGAACATTGATGCCGTGCGTGAACTGATAATGCAAGATCGTCATGTGATATACCGTGAGATAGAGGCATCCTTGGGCATTTCTCCCATCAGCATACATTCGATATTGCATAAACACCTGGTCGTAAAAAAGGTTTGTTCTCGTTGGATCCCGCACAATTTGACAATCGTTCAAAAAAAGGCTCGTGTCGATTGGTGTAAAGAAATGTTGAAAAAATACGTTCACGGTGCTTCAAAAGACGTTTATAAGATCACCGGTGACGAATTATGGATCTATGCGTATGAGCCCGAAACAAAACAACAATCGACCATGTGGGTTTTCGAAGACGAGCCAAATCCAACGAAAGTTGTTCGTGGAAGAAGCACTTCGAAGCAAATGGTCGCCTATTTCTACGGCAAAACTGGTCATGTGGCGACTGTTCCGCTTGAGCAACGAAGGACGGCCACTTCTGAATGGTACACCACAATTTGTTTGCCTGAAGTCTTCGGAGAAATTCGAAAAACGAACAAGAGAAGATGAATCATTGTTCACCATGACAACGCGAGCTCTCACACATCGGCTCAAACCAGCGCCTTTTTGACCGGCCAAAACGTTGAATTGATTGGTCATCCGCCGTATAGCTCTGACTTGGCACCCAATGACTTCTTTTTATTCCCGCACATCAAAAAAAAATCCGCGGTCAACAATTTTCGTCGCCAGAATGTTTAGTTATGCCAAAAACATAGAAATATAAAGACATGTAATTTGCCTCTGTTAAAAAAATCATGAATTCTGAAAAGGTACACGCAATGGGAAAAACATGTCTGTTCAAACATATAAACAATCGAACTTATTATTTTATGTATGATCAATGCTATTTTGTTAGTGAAGTCAGCAATCAAACCAATAGCGAATATGTTGTATTTTGCTTGGACAAAATCATATAGAAAAAAACTCTAATATCAGAGCAAATGCACACATAGCTTCTAGTTCATGCGTATGTAAGTTTCTTGGTAAATTTTTTCTACTCTTCTTTTTATTGCACACTTACTAAATATATATATGCATGGGTAGGTGAGACAATATTTTTGAATGTGATGCTTGGATTTTGTTTGTGTGCTTTTTTTTTCTTAAAATTATTTAAAATTTGATTTTTGCTGAAATTACTGGATTCATACTAATATATGACGTTTGCCTATGACATGATGGAAAACACCGGAGTAGCGCAACCACAGTTGTTTTTGACATTGTGATATTAACAGAACGAGATTAAGTTAATCTGCATTTTTAATCTCCACCGTTTACATTATATATTGGAGATGAATATTGACGTTCCTCTTGTTGTGTTTTGTTTCGTCTGTTTAATAAATTTCTGTAAATAAAGCATTTAATTACAATTTTGTATAAAAAAATTGTAATAAAAATTTAAAAAATAGTTGTAAAACAATAATTTAACAAATTTTAGTTATAATTATCCATAAATCTATTAAACAAATTTAATGGTAGTTTCACTCAATTTTCAAATTGTCAATGTTTGTTTTGAGTAGATTTTGACATCTCTTTAAGATCGCACAAAAAATCTACGACATGAAGCCATTTGTAAAGTTGCGTAGATAAGTAATCATCATTACTTATCTTCGTACTGAAGATGAAAAGGAAATTAACTTTTGTATGGGAAATTTGAGATTAACAACGAGATTAGCACTTTAATCTCGATTCTTGCTTTAATCTACTTTTAATCACACAATGTAAACGCCCTATAAAATGCATACTTCACAACATATATTTATTTACACTAACAGCTTGTGGATTTTGTTGAAATTGTGTTGTGTTTTTTACCGATATATCCTTACAAAAAGCTTTCACTTTCGGCTGAACCCTTTGAGTGGGTCACCGGTCTTACCGACCTAAACAGAGTGGTTCAGCCTAGGTACAACTTGTTTGAAATATTGTTTATAATCGCAGCTCCATTCCTGCTCTTTCCTTCAAGATGTTCTCTATAATGTAGATGTTCTTAGATGTTCACTATATCAATAATGAGTATAAAA